AATTCGCGCCGTCTCGCGCTTGCCTCCGTTGAACTGAAAAACGCGTTCCGCAAGCTATTTAGATCTGGGGAATAGAAGCGTCAAAAGAGCTTTCATGACGTTCAGCGCCGATGTTTAGAAACCATTACTTGCCTTTTTTTTTTTAAGGGGGGGAAGGATTTTGGGAAGATTACCACATGGTTTTCAGGGGGAACAGAGGAAGGATTAGTTGTCGCCTTAAGAGTATAAAGGGAGGACCAGCAAGCAAGCCTTCATTATTAGCGCTTCGGCACGAACATTTCTTCGCCCGCGGTAGAGTATGAGGCATTGATCAACACGAGTCTGCGAGAGGTCTGCAAGGGGTCTGGCAATGATAATTAGTGCCAGATTCCCTCGCCCAGACTAGTCTCGTCTCCTCCCGTAGGTGGAGAAACACCCGTCCCACAACGCTACTGATAAAGAGAGCTTATACACAGGCTACCTATAAATAAGCTCTCCGTATACACATTTAAGACCATCAATTTTACTCTCAAATACGACTCGATCTTACCAGTTTGTTCTTCAGTTCGATGATAGGACGATCACGCCATTTACTCATAAACATTTTGGCGAAATACGAGGAGCGTGCAGACAAAATCAAGCGATGAGCAGGTAGAGGAACACCATGGACTATGAAGCATACATCTGCGTACGGCGAGTCCTCTAGACATCTGAAAAACAGGATTAGTTGAGTAAGAACAGTTTTCAAGTGAGTACCGAAAGAAATATATAATTGCTTTGGTTTTACTTAACCTCGCTCTGTGATTGGTCCAGAAAACCGGCGTCACCTTCTCAACCAATCAGATTTAAAAGTAAGAAACAAACGCGACTTAGTTGTTCGCGTTTTCCCGCGTTTCAAGGAGTTCGGTTGTTTTCACTTTAAGTTCTCATTGGCTACCGGTAGTTTATACCTTTGTTTTGATTGGTCGTTGGGATGATTGGTTTTGGTTTTTCGACTTACAACTAACAAATGCTCTATGGAACAATCGCAAACCAAAAGTCGAATCAGTCAAAGGCAAGCGAGGTAAAAACACAATGGAAGTTTAGAAAATTCATAGGCGACAAATTCCTGGCGCAAAAAAGGTGCGCCGATATGGCGACTTGCTTTGGTTTTTGGGCGCTTTTCCATTCAGTTTCACGAATGAAGTTTAGCTGATCATGGTGGCTAATCAGTACAAATGTTCTACGGAAGCACAGAAAATTTGACTATAGAGAAACAAACCCCTTGAGCTCAGTAAAATGCGAGGGAATAAGTGATTGGTTTTAGCTGCATCTGATTGGTCGAGGTGCGAGTTCTCTGAGCCAATCAGGGAGCGCATCAAAGTAAAACCAAAGTAATCCAGTTTTACTTCGAACACTCCATCAATTTTCTTTTTTTAAAAGTACACAGAGAGGAAAAATTATGAACACTTTCTGATGCGTGGGGAAACTCTCCTGCAAATTTCGCCTAAAATTCGCCATTCGAATTATTACCTTCTCAGAAATTCCCTGTAGGAATCTCTTCTCATGCATTCAGATGTAATAGCCTTGTAGCTCTTGAGGAGGCTTCTGATCTTGTCCGTCAACGCCGCATACAAACAACGTTCTCCGTCGAATGTGTTCGGAGCACAACGGGCCCCTAATGGCAGACGAAGAAATGAAGTTATTCACATGCAATTCAAAATATAATAAGCAAAAATAAAAGCCGAAACAATTTCTTTCGAAAGAAAAAATAGACCAGGAAAAACGAAAGGAAACAGTTTTTGCACATTTTGGATTAAAATAAAAGATTTTCAGAACGTCAAATCCAAAGGTGATTGTTCTGCCGTTTTCAGATTATCCGGGCAGCAGGTCTTGCTGTAGTCTCGCGAGAATCTTTAAGTTTCGCAAGAAGTAATTTTCCTAAACTATAATAATAGGAATTACAGCGGAGCTCGCAGAGCGTAGCCCCATAATTATACAAAATAGTAGTAACCCATCAAGCCGAAAAAATTTAGATGTAGAACCATACGACCGTACGACCACACAAGGTGCTACTTTTAACATGCGTGGTCAACTGTACCGCGGGCACGCCAACGCCACGGCTTTGTTTAGTAGTCCAGTAGCCCACTGGGCTCCGAGTCGGACGACTCGGGTTCTATTCCTGGCCGGGGCAAGGTGTTGTGCCCTTGAGACGTGCGGGGAAAAAATGCGAGTTCCACTTTTAGGCTTGGCTATTAGTGTTATATAAAATGTTGTTCTCCATCGTGGTTTTGTAGATAAATGAACTTTTAAACCTTTGTCTAACGAATTTGAGTCCATACAATTGATAGCCTGACTCTACACCGTGAGGGAAGCAATGAAACGTTCATTTATTAATAATAATAATAACAATAATAATAATGACAAACAGGAGTTAAACCAGTTTCAAACCGGAATTGACAAAACTGACCGTTTTGTAAGAGGTACTCCACCAACTCATGATGTCCACAGAGACAAGCGTAATATCTAGGAAATAATAAAACAAAACAAAAAAATTAAAAAAAAACCAATGAGAGAAATGACATCCGTGACAGTCATGTGAGAATAGCATGCAGGTAGCAGACACTGTGTGAATTCTTAATGTTATGCATCAATTTTGTTTCATCTATTCGTCTATGGTTGAAGGCGACGGCTTATGAAATCAAAAGAGAAGTGCAGGAGCGTGTAGAAATTTTTCTCATCCCACCCTGTATTATAAGAAATTACTCCTCTTTGTTCTCATGGGGTATATAACACGTATAAAAATACCAAACGTTCTACACATACAGTGGTGTGCTGTCCCAGCAATCTCGAAGATTCAACTCTGTTTCTCCGCTCTCCACAAGATATCTAAACGGGGAAACAAAAACGAAAAAGGTGAAAGTCACGTGAAAAGGCTACAAAACGTAAATCACCTAAGCAGCAGAGACTTATAAATTTCCAGGCATGTCCAGTATACGAGTTGATGTTCTGGCAGAGAGGGATAACGTCTACCAGTGGCGTATCTAGACTTTTTTGCGTCTTTACAACCTAACAGAGTTCTCAATTTGGCACGCAAGCTGTTGTAGAAACCCTGTGTTTACACATTTCAATCTCCTTGTTCACTTATAGGAAAGGTATGTTCCCGTATGTATGCGACAATGCAAATTGAGAAAAAATGGCTTGGAGATCGCTTGAAAAGTGACTAGAAAAACGCTTTACCTGAAAAGCTTTCCAAAATGCTCCAAAAGGCATAAGAGTGTGTTCAAATTTTCAAAAGTTAGGGGAAGGATGCTCCTATTCCGGCCTCCGTTCATACATTACAGTTATGTTTCCCTTAATTCAAATTCGTTGGTACGGGCCCGAAGTTACTAAGCATTTTTAAAACATTTGAAGACAATTTTCGAAAGGTTAGGTCACTTTTTGGAGTCTCAAAACGCGATAAGTGTCACAATTTCAAGTGCATTTTTTTGAAGGTGGAGAGAAAAATTTCATGATTTCAGGAGCATAGTTCTTAGAGCATTAGCTCTCCGTTAAGGTATTTGACCGAAGGTGGACACTACCTTCGATGCAAGCCTTCCAAGAGAATATCAACTGCATATCATGTAGGCCTTATTATCTCAAATAGCCTTGGACTTGCATGCGAGCAGGTTCTAATTTTCGCTGTGACATGGACCGCCGAGAAGTGCACCAAAAGTTTCTAGCATAAATTGTTTCTTATTATGTAATCCATCGATATCCAACCGATCTCCGGTCCCCAGTCCAGTCAACAAGATCGCGACTCAAATAGATAGATAGATAGATAATACAGTAGAACCTAGATTTAACGAACCTCTACTCAACGAATCGAAGTTCTCAGTATAACGAACGATACTCTTCAGCCCGGCCAAAGTTACAGTTTAATGTAAGGGAAAGAATTTCGATTTAAAGAAAGCACAAAGGTATACTCCGCTACAAGGAACAAATGTCAACACATGACGTAAGACAACTACGAAACAGACCAACAAGAATCAAAATCTTTCAATTTTGTAACAATAGAATAACTTTAAATTTAACAGCTCATTATAAATGCCGACACTGACACATTCGACACATCTACAGATCCGCTTTATCCTCTTTGTGTCTGATTATTTTTGAAGGCTTCTTGTAGTAAAAGGTGAAAGAGACAGGAATTTCCAGTTCATTGCCCTTGTTTCTTCGTTTGACTGTGACTTCCACTGAAATTTGTCCTCTGTGCTTTAAAAGCAAGGTGCTGTAGCTATGTACAGACCTGTTCAGTGTACTGTAACTTCATATAGAAGTCAAAGCATTGATGTTATTTACAGTTATCGTTCCGATCCCAAAATGCTGCTGGGTAGCGCGACGTCACACCACACAAAGAAACAAAACGAAACAAAAACAACTCAATCATCCCTCGATATAACGAGCATTTTGGTTGTTTTCCCACAAATTCGTTAAATCGAAGTTTCCGATATAACGAACTCTCGATATACCGAGCCAATTTCCCCAGTCCGTTGGCACTGCGTTAAATCGCGGTTCAACTAAGCTCAAGCAATTAAGCAATATAATCTCGTGCACATAAGTTGTGTTTAAGCTATCCGTTTTCAAGCAAGTCTAAAATATTTGTGACAAGTCTAGAATGATAAACGAAAGCCAGTTTCAATGTCTATTTTCTTGTCAAATATATGCATCTTCGTGATTTCTCATGCAGAACACTACAAAGATGCTTGTATAATTAATTACAATATTAATATTTATTAATTAATGGTTTAAGTGTAAAAACCCTCATTCAATGAAGGACTTTTTCAAATCACTTATTTCGTAAGCTGTGAAAATTAAAGGCTGGCTTGCAAATTACTTGTGTTGTCGTCTCAGTTGAAAGCTAGCTTTGTCTTCGTTCAGTTGTCTTGCATTTTCACCGAAATTTGTCGAAATGGCTCGGAAACGGACTGCACTACTTCTCCCGAAGTATCTAAGTGTCGAGGTGATAAGACTGCAAAGCTACCGAGGAACACATCATTTGTCAAAAGAGACGAGTTTTAGTAACCTTTAGAAACGGATTTTACCGACTGTTTGAAAGCAACACTTTGAAACACAACTGAAAGATGTATCGCGTTAAAATTTTGTTTTTGTTATGGTTTGTTTTTTTTATTTCGTTTCGATCAGCTAAAAAAATTGAACAGGCTTTCTTCGAAAAAAACTGCTTTTATTGGTAGAAACCTGAAAAGAATTTCAGATCATTTTGAACTGACCATCTGCAACGTTCCATATATCAAACTTATCAAACTTAAAGAAGTTGAAAATCAGCTGCAGTACAGGTGAACTGCAGATGCTCTCACTTACCTCTAGCGAATTTTAAATTCATATCGGGCGCTTGCTACCAGCTGTTACCATTTTTCGGCAATTTTAGCCAGGATATTGAAAGATAACGGTTACTTACATTATTCTTTGGATACAATTTGCGCTCAACCAAGTTGTCAGTTTGAAATGTACGCAAATTTCAACGAGCGTGAAATGTACAACGTCTGAACATGTACATATCTAACTTCGAATCACCAACACAAAAAAATGCACTCATGTTCCTTTAGGATTTCTTACCTGACTCGATCGAGGTCACCTCGACGGCAACTTTGGAAAAGATCCATCGCAAACAATAGTTTTGGACCGAATGGGCCGAATTACAATTATTCCTCCAGAGCTGCTAAAATGGTTTGTTGTGATCGAAGTTTGTTTACAGTTTTTGCGCATGACACATGAATCCGCTGACCCTCTCAAACGTTCTAAGATACACGAAAATAATTAAGTGTAGTAATGGTGAGGATTTTGACAGGATTTTGAGTGAGAAATGCTAGAATTTGCTCGTTTAGGATGCCAAAACGCAATAATAGAGTTCCGAAAGAATCTGATAGAGAAAGAAGACCTCCAGAATTGACGCTAGCAAGCTTTCTGAGCGGTTCCTTGGCTTCACAAACTTCAGTTGTTAGCGAAGGAGCTTCTTCCGCAGATCAACTGGATTTTGTAGGAACGAGGTCAACTTCAAAAGAGGAGGAAAAAACAAACGAAACTATTGGATTTGCCGTCAAACGCACAAAGAAAGGGAAGATTCCAATTTCGTACGAAAATCGCGCCAAAGGGAAGAAGGTCACAGTTGTAAGTAACGTTACCGGCGATCCTGGCATTTTATTACAAGAACTTAAGAAGAAAATCGGAGCTGGTGGAGTCGTTAGAGGGGAGACTGTGGAGATACAGGGAGATCATCAAGTTTTGGTGGAGAAGTTTTTAACTGGCCATCCCTGTTTGAAATAGAAGCCTTTATTAGAGAGTACAAAAAATTTCCTGTCCCCCTACCCGCTGGAAAACATTTTTATCTACCCACAGATCCATGCGCGTCAAAACTCAAGATGGCTGCCGACATGACTTAACAAATTTTGGACGAGTTTGCGCGAAATTTGGTTGTATTTGATTGAAATGAAACTGAGAGCTGTCTTGAATAAGCGTAGAGAAGTGCTCGAATTGTCAGGAGATGCAATAACCTTGAGTCACTGTCGCCAAGCTGTCCAAAGAAAATTTGGTTTGAGGTAATGACGACACAAGTGCACTGCATTATCTTTTTTTTTATTTGTTTTGAATATTCAGTAATTTCTAATTCTTATTGAAATTTTCAGAGAAAACAGTTTTAATCTGAGCCTGAATGGGAAAGATATTTTAGAGAATGACTCTGTACTCCTCAGAGACCTGGGAATAGTAAATGGTGACTTGATCCACGTTCTGCTCAACAACGATGAGGAAGAAATAACATCAGATAACCTTAGTGCGCCTGGTTCTTCAAGATCTACTGTGTATAGTACTCGTTCACCCTCCTTTCATTCCACAGAACCGGTAGCTGGTACATCCCAGGTAAAGTGATTTGTTTTAACTCTTTCACTTTCAAGATTTCATTAGTAATTCTCCTTACTGTGAGCCATACAATAATCTTATGATCAATATTACTACTGAGAAATTGGTATTGGATCAACCCTTAACCCTTTAATTTGAGTTTTTCTATATTCCCATTACTTGTCTGCTTGATATTGTATCGGCATTGTAAGGAGAAATGCTGTTTTGCTCAGTCGCAAGAGTTAACTATAAAGGGTTAACCCTTAAAATCCAAGCACAGGCAGTTCCTACCTAACCCTTCATCAACAAATACATTCCAAGTTGTCTTTCTTTGTTTGCTAGAAGGTCAATTCCTTTTGAAATGTAGAACAAGATCAACCAAGCAGCAGATTTGTTTCCATTAGTTCAACCCTTTACTCTCAGAAGTGATAAACATATAACTTTTCCCCATAATATCCATACATGATCCAGCAAACAGGTCATGAGATTACTCGGACTTATCAGGTTTAAGTTGTTACATTGATCCAACACCAACTTCTCGTAACTAATTTACGAAGAAATGAGTAGTAGAAACAGGGGAGAATTTACAATCAGAACTTGGGAGTTAAAGGGTTAAAAATGTATTTTTTTTTACAAATTTTTTTTTTTTTGCGCCATTAATGTAGGCATCAAAGCATTTTCAGGAATTTTTCCTAACTGTTTTTGTTATGTATATGGGCATTAGGCAAGGTCAGTGTTGTCTACACATGGAAAACAACATGATGAACAGAGTAAAGAAAAAACCAGAGAGGCAGGAACTGAAAATGTTCAGCATCATCCAGGATCTTTTTCATCTGTGTCAAGTGCAGGATCTGTGTCATCCGTCAGATCTCTGGTTCTTTGTCGAGAAGGAATTCCACCTATGTTAGAAGACTTATATAGAGCTACAGGGGTTGGAACCATTCACCAGGCTGCATGGGTTGTTATTCGTGTTTTGATGTTAGAGACTGGTTTTATCTGTGGGTTAGATGTAAGTTGTAATTGCATTTCAGATCAAATGCAACCCTTGGTTAAATGTGGTTTCTATAAATTACCGTATTATTATTTGTGGAATGATCTTCCGGGCTCTATCAGAAACACCCAATCTTTAAATAAGTTTAAGAAGGCCATTAAAACTTTTTTATTTGCCAAAGCTTTTTAATTCTTTGTATCTAATTTCATATTTTTACATCTTCTTAGTGATCATTTTTATTGATTTAATTTTTTTTATTTTTTAATTTATTTATTTTTTTAGTTTTTAGTATCTATGTAGGGGTTGAGTTTTTAACATTTAATTGTAATGCGCAATTGAAAATTCTTATATTGATAATTGTGCAATATAAGTCTATAAATTATTAAATTGTTATTTATTATTATTATTATTATTATTATTATTATTATTATTATTATTATTATTATTATTATTATTTGAAATGTGATGGCTCAATGGTAATGGGTGGAGAGGTTCCTGTTTGAGGCCTGACTGGATCATTGTGTTGTGCTGTGTTCTTGGGCAAAACAGTTTACTTTTTAAGTAATTTGGTATTAGGAACTCAGGTGCTAATGTAAATTGGCCAATGTAAAGATTTTCAAAGCTGACATTTTGAGCATTACACCTTCATCAGAGCAAATAAAGAAACTCTTTATGCCTGGACAAAAATATTTACAAAGCCTTGTGTACAATGCAGAAAAACCTTACAGATTCTACGGACTTTGCAAATCTACATTCACACCCTTTGCATCAACAGAGAATCTGAACTCACAATGTGCACTAAGAATTAACTCAGACAGCAGTTACACCAACAGTCTGTCATGTAAAAGAAACTAAAGCTTCTTTGGGCTTTAATCCTCAGGAACCAACAGAAATGGGGAAAATGGAGGAACTGAACAGAGATGAACCCTCTAAGGCATGGAAGACAGGTGGTGTTGTTAAAGCGATGTACACACATTCATCATGTCCTGGTTTAACCTGCTCCCTGACGTGCACCTCTCTTGGTCCATACATGATGCTACATGGTGAGCACTTGAATCATTGTTGAATATTGTTGTCAGTGTACAGATATACAATTAAATATTTTCTTTCTTGCTCTTAGGTCACACTAATTCAGTTGCAAAAAGTGACATTTATCAATGCAAGTTACAACCAACTGACTTTGTCAGGGGAAATGTGGATCTCAAAACAAGTGGTGAGTGCTAATATACATAAGGTACTACTGGCAGTGATGTTGTGAATAGATTAGTATCAGTGCTCCAAGGTGAAAGCTTTTTGAGGCCCATGCTAGCTAGAAAAAATGGGCTTCTAAATTTACAGTGCTAGTCAACTTGAGTTCAGTGATCATCTAGCAAGTTGTGATGTTTTATATCCTAGTTTTTGTGCTCAAAGTAAGATAAACATTTTCATAAAATATCACTCATACTCTGTTGCTTTCTTTTATGAAAATTTGCCCCTTTTTCCTTGGATATGAAGAGAAGATTTGGCAAAGAATTACTAAATTCAATTTCCTGATTTGTTATAATAGCACAAATAGGGAAACTTAGTATTTTACAGTCAGTGATAATTTCCCTTTTTTTTTATCATTTTCTACAGGAGCCTTGTCAGTGTATTATAACCTTCATCGGCTGTCAAGGTTATTTAAAGATCAAGTTGCTTATCCATTGTTGTCCTTTATGAGAGCTGGTGAGGCAGTTTTCCTGTTTCAGTGGTTGGTTTTGTGAGGTTAATCTTTTAACTTCGAATAGTGATTGACATTTAACTTCTCACTGTAACATGCATATGTCATCCAGCTAACAGGTTATGAGAATACTCCAACTTATCAGGTAGAAATTGTTGTCTTGATCTGATACCAAATTCTCATAACTAATTTACTTGGAAATGTGTAGCAGCTAGAAGGGAGAATTTACAAATAGATCTAGAGAGTTAAAGGGTGAATATTGATTCCAAAACTTTATAGTATATATGATAAATAAATTCATGTATATCCATATGTGCTTAATACCCTAAAAACTCATGCTCATGCAAGGTGCAAATGAAATGCTTGAAAGAACAACTGGCAAGCAAGATTCAAGTTTAGAACCTAGAGATACAAATGGCTCACCTAGGAGTCGCCATTTCTATCGAAAGAAATGATCAACAAATGGTTTCAATTTCTTTGATCTTTATTTATTGAAGGTTTTAGGTGCTTTTCGAGACCTTATACAACCCAGTGCACTCCCTCTGAAGGCAGTGCTCCTGTATTTATGCCGCACCCACAGTTTTCAGCTCAATGCAGCTTTTACATAAAATTTTTATGGTATTTTATGAACAATTTTATAGTAAGTTATGATTAATAAAATATCTTCATGATATTGTTTTCTGACTAGGATCTTATTTCACTCTAATTGTTAATGAGGTATCATAGATATCACTAAGTCTTCTTTTTGTAGTTTTGATGATGCGACAAATTTGATGTACATCTTAAAATTTTTTCAAGCTTTCTTATTTATTTCTGTTATGTAATTATTTTACAGCTCTAGGACTACCACAATTATGTGGTTTTATGGCTGTACCTGCAGAAGTTAAGGTATGCAAAATACTTTTTCTTTATTAGTAGCTCATCAATCTCTAGGTAAAGTGTAGCTCCAATGATATCTTTGACATGACCTCAGTGCACTAAGGTCATAATCTTGTGGTAGGATTGGTGGATTTCTCTCCATGTTGTTTGTGTGCCCTTGGCAATAAGATATATAGTAGATGTTGGGCATTGAACTCTAAGAGCCTACATGCTTCTGAAAATTACAAATTAATATGGTAATTTTTACAGAAACTAAAACATATACTTTGTTCTTCTTGTGATTTCCTTATTGAAAACATTTTTTTTCCCTTTCAGCTGATGATTCTTGGAAATCTTCCAGTTCAGAGCATTATAAATGTTTCTTGCACTTGCAGAGAACTGAGATCTCTTTCAAGTGATTCCACGTTATGGCAGCACCTTGTGTTAAGAGATTTCGGTAAGATGCAGCTTGAGATAAAAATTGGGTGTCTTTGTCCCCCTTCCTTCAAAGAAGGTCACAAAAATAAAGGGAGTGATCTCTGACTAAAGAAGCTCTTGATTTTCAAACAAATTCTCCTTGTCAGCACTTTAGGAATTTTATAGACAACAACAGGGAGAATTTGCATACTTATTATAGGGTATAAATAGTTAACAACATTCAGAGCAGACATAGCTGTGAGGATTGCTATGACTTTGCAGTACTTCCCTTTGTGAAAACTCACACCATCTTCTCAATCAATCAGATTCAAACTAAAACCTTATTGGTTCCTTGAGGAAATATCTTTGAATACTTTGTTTTTGGTTCAAACGTAATCAAACTATGCCCCACATCTTGATTTCAGATGCAAGTGTTAAGGAACAAACCAGAAGCTGGAAGACAGTAAGTACTTTGTTTTCACCCTTTAAATCCCAGAGTTGATTAACATGTAACTTCTCCCTATAATATCTGTACACTATGCAGCATATAGGTAATGAGAATAATCAAAATTATCAGGTAGAAGTTGTTATCTTGATCTAAAACCAAATTCTCATAAGTAATTTAAAAGGAAATATGTAGCAGATAGAAGGGAGAATTAGCAATCAGATCTTGGGAGTGAAAGGGTTTACTCCATGTTTTCCAAACTATGAGTGATTGTTGAAAATTAGTAACCAATTTTATTATATCTCTCAGTTAATATGTGGGCTATGATTGGTCAATTTAGCAGGCTGTATGTCACTGTACAGCCCACTAAATTCAAAATTTTGTTTTAATTTACCATATTTTAACCCAGAGATATAACAAACATCTTGCTAGCTTTGATTTCTCGGTCTCTTCTGTAAGTTACAAAACCTTGTTTCCTTGATAGCACCTTGGTTTGTTGTCATTAGTACGTTCTGAAAAGTGTGTGTATCCCAAAAATTCTGTAAGGTTCAGCACCTGTAGCAATTTTCACAACTCAAAAGCTAATAAATTATGAAAAAGCAAACAGAATGAATGGAAGCCTAGTAGGAAAACTTAATTCTTCTGAAGCTTTTCACAGCTCATTGCACATTAAGTGTCTTGGAATATTGCCACTCTCCTTGGATGGGAAGCCAGTCAATCACAGGATTCCTCCCTGCATTTCATATCATTTCAGCAGTTCACTGGTAGCCATTTATACTCACAGGTGGAGGGAGAGGCACTTCAAGTGTTCAGTGTCTCACCCAATCACACAACATAATGACTTAACAAGGTCCTGAGTCAAAAACTTTTGTTAAGAAGACCTGTTCACTAATCTATGCACTACCAACTATGTCTCCCACAAACAAAATAAAGGAAGAGGTAAATTTTTTCATGAAAAGTGTATCATTAATTTGACTTTTATTGACTCTTGCAGACATATATTCATTTGTACAAACAAAGGAAAACCCAGGAGCAAATGAGGATGCAAGTTATGGTACCGCCTGATGGAATATACCCCCCTGATTATGGTTTAGGTGCACAGCGTTACAGGGGGGACACATTTCCACCTGGTATAATAGGTAGGTGGAACACTTTGGGTCACTTTTTACAGCAACTTTTAGGCTGGTTTTGATTACCAGATGTGTAAAAGAAAAATTCAAATACAAGGAAAAAAACAGCACCCATCAAATGGCAGTAGCTAAACAACTACATTAAAAAAAATTAATATTTTTTGTGTGGTATTTGGTATATTTTTTTTAGTTTAGGCTGCGAATTTGCTGCTTAACTCTTCAATTCCTATGAGTGACCAAAACTGAACTGAAACTGAACTAACATTATCAATACAATAGCAAGCAGACAACTGATGAGAATAATAAAAAACGAGTCCAATCAGGGAATTACTAGTTGATCCAATACCAAATTCTCTGAACTAACATCATAAGAATTCTATGGGAGGCTGTGAGGGGAATTACTTACAAGACCTTGAGAGTGAAAGGTTTTCAGGTTAAGTTGCCCATTTGGCATCCCACTCAGTTTGGCCATCAGGTAGTTTGCTTAAATGTTGTTATTGCCTAGTGCTGAAAATGAGTCTCTGAGCCTCGGATTTGACTTGTTGCTCTTGGTACTAAAGTCTCATTTCTTTTAGGTGGGCACAGAGATCTTTTTCCAAATCTGCCATTTATGCCTGGCGGCATTAATCCAACACCTGGCATCTCCCCAGGGACTGGTTTGCCACGACCTCGATTTGACCCTTTTGGACCCTTACCAGACATAAATCAGAATCCTGGGCCATCACGACGAGGGAGACATCCAGATCGACACTTTAATCCTTCAAGAGGCTTCCCTCCTGGATTCTTGTAGAGTGACACTTTTGAGTGCATTCTCTTGAAAAAACAAATTATACACAAAACCACCATGGCAATGTTCAGCACGTGCTTATCATTCCTTGTGTCATCAGTGTGGAGCTGTGTCACAACAAATCATTTCCAATTCTGTTGGACAATTTTCACACATTAGGGATTTAGAGCAGTCATGACACAATGCTGAGAGAGACATTGATTTAAAAGGGAGTAATGTATTTTGTTTGAATTTTGCGAAAGGATGGATGTGTTTACCACTCTCTTACAGAACCACACCTCAATCTTAGCATTCCAAATGGAAACGTAAGGAATTTCTGTTCTCAGGCTATGCAGATTTTGGTTATTTCACATTGTTGTTTTGTAGGGGACAGCCATGAAATGTAAAAGTTTTCAAGTGCATAGGTGGAGCCATTGTTAGATGCCAATTAGATCCTTTGTTTTGCCGTATCCGCAATGCCATTGCTGTCATCTTTTGCTTGAGCTCCCTTCTGTGTTTCTTAGTGTGGCATTCAAGCTTTGTTACTTTTTCAAAATTAGTCATCTCTTGACTAATATGTCTTCCCAATTTTAGCATCAAAGGGAAATATTGGTTGACAGATTTTAAAAAAAAACATTCTTGGAAAGAAATGTTATCCTTTATATGAAATCAATGCAGTTGCCTCAGGAACATCACCATGGTTACACCGAGGAATAGGCAGCTGTGATTGTTCTTAGCAGTACATTCCTAGATCATAAAAATGAGTTATGCTGTAGGAACTTGTGTGATCTTTCTCAGATGATTTAGAGCTTTCTTAATGAAGATTTCAAACCTGAGATTACAAATAAAATGTTTTTATTTTAAAATTAAATGTTAAGTTCTGTGAGTCAGTTTTGTCACCACCTGAAGACAAAGTTTTCATTACATGTTCAGGACTATTAACTTTTTTGGAGGGGGAGGAAACTAATCCAAGTAAAAATATGAAAATCTCAAAACAACAAATTGTTTGAAGACCAAAACATTATCATACACATCCACACCAAAAGAGTCTTTAATTTTTACACGAAGAGGCACACTTTATATTGCCCAGAAATTAATGAGCAAACTAGTAAAGATTATATCATTTACTCCTTTAAAAACACAATTTACCTTTAAATAAAGCTCAGTTATGAATAAATTAATATATAATTTAAACAAATAACTTATGGTATTATTTATCAAATTTGGTCAGGATCTGCCAAACCTTTTAGAAAAACAAAAACTATGTGGGACATCTTAAAAATAAGATGTAACACAGTATTTACAGATTCAGTATGTGATTGCATCCTTGTTGTGAGCAGACGGTCAGTCAAATGCAAAAAGAAATATTTCAGGCCCTCTCTAGCAGACATTGACACCTTTCATCCCAATCAAGAAACGGAATCTAAACACCCATCCATATTAATCCTAGGAGGATAATTTGGTTTAACTAAATGAGTTGATAGATGTAAATTGGCCACTAAGAGTTTTTAAGCTGACATTTCAAGCATTAGCCCTTTGTTATATGCTCTAATGAAGGGCTAACACTCAAAACATCAACTTAAAAGCTCTTTATGGCAGCCAATTTACATTTTATCAAGCTGAACTTAGTTACTGATGCAGCACCACAGTTTCTTTACAAACTTGCACCCTTAAATCATTAGTAGCATCTCAATTTGCTGATTCAAAGCCTTGATAAGTGGGCTGAAAAAGCTTCTATTTTGCCTTAACGCCATGCTCACAGTCAAAATTACTTCATAAAATATAATTAAACTTGTTAATCTTAGTGAATTTTACTAATTGCTATCTCTGTTTCTTCTTTTTTTTTAAATTTCTCTCGTTAAAATATTTTTCCCTCTGACTTTTCTGACAATTACATCATTAAGTGACAGAGCTTCCCAGTAAATAATTAGTATGGGTATAAACGTGATTACAAGTGCAATTGGGTGTTTATAAGCATGAGTAAATTTATCAAAGACAACAAAATTGCCTGCACTCGTGTTACAACTTTGCGCTCATGTTACATGAAAAATGCACTTGTTTTTAGCCAATCAGAGGCACATAATTTTTTTCATGTATATTATTAAAATAATAACAATAACTGCTATTGATATCATTAATATTAGTATCCTGGACTGAAATGGGGGCCAACTCTCCCTCAACCAATTTTGTTCAATCTATTAAATAAATGTCAAATTCAGGACCAAATGAAGTTTAAAAGACAAATGAGTGAAAAATTCTTCACACCACT